AGGGATCATGGTTATTTATACTGGATCGCTTAAGCGATAACTTGATCGCTTAAGCGATCCAGTATAAACAACCATGATCGCTTAAGCGATCTTATGCCATTTACTGATCGCTTAAGCGATCTGCCCATACAGCAGACTTTAACCAGATCGCTTAAGCGATCATATGCCACATACCTGAGTTTAAGCGATCTATCTGCTGCATTACCAGACCTACCAGATCGCTTAAGCGATACACAGATCGCTTAAGCGATCCATCGTACCCAGAAACACATTTTCAGTCATCTCCACCTACAATCGATCCATCATACCCAAGAAAATAAATACCCAGAAAAATTTTCAACAAATTTCACTCCTTTCAACTTGCATTACATCAACACAACCCAACAACCTAAACAACTAAATCAAAATCATAACCCAAACCCCATCCTTATTAAATCTTGTAAATCTAATATAAATGTAAAAGGAGATACACATACTTAGACGAAATGTCAGGAGGAGGAGGAGGGGGATCTTGCCGGAGAAGATGTTAATGGTGGAGGAAGAAGAAAGTGTTAATGGCGGAGGAACAAGAAGATATAGAGGAATGAGGAAGAAGAAGATGTACAGGAAGGAGGAAGAAGAAGAAGATGCAGAGGAAGAAGAAGATGTAGACGAAGCCAAGAAGAAGAGAAGAAGATGCAGAGGTAGAGATGCGTTAATGGCGGGAGGAAGAAGAACGTTTTTGGGTTTATTTGCAACAATTTCGGGTTTGTGGAAATATAGTATAATTTTGAAAAGATTACATTAATCTTAATTAAGCACTAATTACCCTTAATCAATAATATGGCTATTTAGTTAACATTTTAAAACTGATAGCCTTTTAATTAAATGTAAACTTCAAATGTCTTTTTAATAAACTCCCCCTATAAAATTCCACGAGGTTAAGTTTAGGGTTAATTTTATGAGCTCCCTAAGGTTTGCATTAACTTATAATACGCCCTATAGTTTTAGAATAATTCTGTCTCTCCCAATAGGTTAAATTACTACACTACCCATGATGTAAATTACCATTTTAAGACTAAGAAATAAAAAGAATCTATGTGTGCACATCCACTAATAATATCCTTTATTAATTCATGGCAAATAAGAGAATTTAGTTTATAATATCAAAGCATATTAATGATATATACAACAATGATTAGAAAGAGAGAGTGTAAAATCTCGTTATAGTGATATTTTATATATGAATAATCTCTACGTAGTCATATAAAATTCTAGTCTAAATTTGGAATAATTATAAATACGAATAAACTCCGTATTATAATAAGTTATAATTTTTCTAATTCCTGTCTTGAAAAAAAATGTCTCAATAATTATATGTATATTCCAAAAAAAAAAAAAAAAAAATATTCCAAAAAAAAAAAAAAAAAGTTATGCTACATTAAAGATTTAAGGAAATTAAATATTTATCTAAAATTGTTTAGAACAATAATTTATGTTTTAAAGTTGTTACCATATTTTTTAACTTGCGAGTACGTAATAACTCTCTAGCATAGGTGTAGATGCAAAAATCTACCTTCGCGGAAAGAAGGACTGATCCCATGAGGTTGAGGCCACTAGCGATCTACTGTACCTGCACACCTGAGGAAACTAGCGTGAAGCAGACGGAAAACACCAAGGTGGTGTTTACCGTAGGCACTCCAACGCTCAAGTCAGCAAGACTGAGTGAGGCTAATATAGTAAGGGTTAGAAAGAGGAAAGGTTACCGGAAGTCTAGTTAGGGACTGTGACTACGGCTGTAATGCGAAGTTCTCAAGTGGGAACTCCAAGGTTTGAAGGTGTAATGCCCCTGTCTTTTATGAGAGGGTTGGTCTCTCTTTAAATAATGATTGTATCGTCTTCGAATCCTGGTGGGACTGGGAGTCTTTGTAGTGGTAATCCTCTCAAAGGGTGTAACCTTGGGCTCCATTATCTCAGCAGGAAAGGGAGTTCGAACGTGCCTCCGATACGGACCTTGGAAGAATTGGAATAGTAATTGACTTCTTTATCAGAGTTCAAGTAAGAGTGTAATTTGTAGGCGACTGTGGGCTCCGAATTGACCGTAAGCCCAAAAGGTGTTCTAGGATCAGGAGGCCTAGGTCCAGATGGTAAAATCCGGCCGCATTTCATATCGAATGGGCCTCATCTGTAGAATTCTGATTTGGGGCCTATTGGGGTTGGGCTAGAGCTTTCATCTTTGTTAGAGGTGTTTCCTTATTTGGGCCGAGGACATTTTTTGGTCCTAACAATAGACACATTTTTGTTAAAGTCAAAATAATTCTAGATTTTAAGTATATTTAGAGCTTCTTAGTACGAAACTTTTTATATTCCTGTGAGGACCCGGATTCGGCTCATGGGCTATCCCAATCTTGGGCTCTTTCCCTCATGGGCTTTCCCAATCTTGCCCCGGCGGCCCCACTCATAGGAATATCCCCACCCCTGCAAGTGGGTTTCTTTCGCCTTCCCCACCTCTCGAACACAAGACATGCAGACTAAGTACTTGTGACAAAAGAGGTGAGTACCATCAGCCAGCTGGCCTGATGGTACTCATGGTGCTTCCCATTTGCCTATAGCCCCTTGGGCATGGGTTTGGACCTGGGGAGAGGCGGAAAGAAATCCCTTAAGGGGGGGGGGGGGGGGGGGGGGGGGGGGGGGGGGGGACAGTACTTAGTGAGTCACAGTGAACACGAGGAAATCCTGTGTGGGGCGTGGGCGTGACAATTCCGTATATCATTTTTAGGATTATTTCCTTTCTTTTTTTGTAACTACATTTATATTAAGTTATAACCTTTTTATAGACATAAATTAGTTTGATCTCATTATTATGACTAAAGAGAGGTTTTACTATATATATAAATATGTGTGTGTGTGTGTATATGTAAGCTTTGTGATTGTGGGTTAAAGAAACGAAATTAATACAACGAAAAAACTTTAACCGTATATGAGTTAAAACACAAACGTATCACAAAGTTTTTAAAACTCAAATAAATTTAGGTCAAGAGAGGATTCATATTTATCACCATCATATCCTTAAATTTAATTTGAAACATTCAAAAATCATAAGTTTCATATGGCTAATCTTCCAAGTTTGTTGAAGCCAACATGTTCATCAATAAAATATTACACTAGCAGTCTGAAAATGAATTTATCACTACTATAGAAACATAAATCTTAATTTTACTAGCGTCAATATTAATCATATACATAATATATATAGTAGTTGTAACATCTCAAGCCTACTTCCTCTGGTGGGGCTTTGAGAGCCACGTTCTTATGTATTATCCTACCCATTTTTTAGAGGTGGGAATTACGCCCAGACCTAAAAGCTCAGCCCAAAATACTAGTCCTAGGATCGGTCCTTGGGAGGGCTGGACTAGGCTCAAGGGAGGAGGGCCAGGGCCCAAGGCCGGTCCCTCCTCCAAGGGCTTGGTCCCAGGCCCAACCCCCCAACAATTTCTTTTTAACCCTTGTAAAATATTCAAAACTCTTTATTTAATATGATATTGACAATAAATATAGGGGTTAAAATAAAATTTTATAAACAAATTTGTCTTGGCCTATAGTACCGGTCCGCCCTGAGAAATCTCATGGACCCCGGATCCGTCCCTGATTATTTGGGCCCAGGCCCAAGACCGACTGGGCTCGGGCCTTTCCCACCTCTACCATTTTTTATGGTTAGGTTCGAATTTGTTCCTTACCTACAATTAATGGGGCTTGAAGCACGTTGCCTTTTATTAAGATGAATACTAGCAGTTCATTAACAACAGGTGATTTATGTTATTTTGAAAACCTCAAAAGGAAATTTATTATGTTATACCTGATTAATGTCATTACCTTCAATTAATACAGTAGTTACATTTTTTACTTAATCATCAAGAATATATTATTTTCCAATTAGGATTCTCTCTGAATCTTAACCAAATACATATTTATGTTTGTTTGGTGGTTAATGAAAAGGAATATATTACTAAGAAATCTCGACCGTACATGAATTAAAACACACACGTGTCGTTGATTTCAGAACTTTTCTGTTTGTTAATAGTGAAAAGATTAAAATGCCTTTAAAAGTTTGATATTTTAGTTTTTGATAAATTTAATTTTTTTTAAAAAACCCCATAGGTTTGCTAATTTAACTAAACACACCCATATATAAAAAGTTTGGTAAATGACAAAAACACCTCCACCACCTGCAGTGTCAGATTCCGGCCACCACCACCGAAAACTGGCCGAAAAATTGCGTTACGACATAGACCCGTTAGATCTATGTCGTAACGTGTCGATCTGGCCGTCAAGGCAGCAGATGGAGTTTTGCGGCCTCAACTGCCAGATCTGGCCTTTTTCGGCCAGATCCGTGACTGATCTGGACGAAAAAGGCAAGATCTATGGCTAGATCTGACCGTCGTGGCCGCAAAACTCCATATGGGGCATCGACGGCCAGATCTGGCCTTTTTCGACCAGATCAGCCACGGATCTGGCCAAAAAAGGCTAGATCGACGCGTTACGACACAGATCCGACGGGTCTATGTCGTAACGCAATTTTCGACCAGATTCCAACGGTGATGGCTAGAATCTGGCACTGCAGGTGGTGGGGGTGTTTTTGTCATTTATCAAACTTTTTATATATGGGAGTGTTTAGTTAAATTAGTAAACTTATGAGGTTTTTTTATAAATTTTAAATTTATAAAAAACTAAAATATCAAACTTTCAAGGACATTTTAGTCTTTTCACTGTTAACAAATAAAAATCACTAACAACACATGACGGAAGGTACTTATTTATCGTTTCTAAACCTTTTAGATACCACTTTGTCGTTACGGCAAACCTTGGGTATGCGCATGTCGTTTGGCCTAAATTTAATTCAAGAGGGGACTTGGATATATTACTGTCACAGTGTCATTCCTTTTAACAAGAGCCATCAAAGAAACAAGCTGCAGAAAGGAATTGATACACAAGATGTCCGCACATGAAAATCTTCATATTTATATATACAAATAAAATAAAATTTAGAACTCAGTCGAAGGCAAAGTACATACATTTAAATCCAGAAATCATACTAAACTAACCTATACAAGTACACCAATAAAATATCCAAATCAAGCGGATTTTATCATGGGTTATATCTGCAAAGACCATCAATCTTCTCCAAGATATCCTCATCCTTGAAAGAACAACTTTTAACATTTGTCGACCCTCTGAATGCTTTATGCTCAATCTTAACTTCCTTCAGGCAATCCTGCCAACATGATACAGGAAGTGATTCGCAACAATGAGGAGTCTCTCCTTCGCAAATAAGCCGATTCTTGTATGTGAACTGAAAAAGATAAAAGTAAACTTGCAAAAAGTACCACTCATGCTCCCATTATCAAAGACAACAAAAATGGAGTATAATATTGAGGTGACAGTCTCTTCTCTTGCAGTGGCGTTATACTATGACCATTCAATATCTCAGACATTGTTTTAGAATCACGTACTTGAAAGATGTTGGTAAGTTCATTAGGTCAATTACCCCTATTCAGTTGATCCTACAATGACAAATACTTGGTAGAATATGAAGCTAATAGACAATACAGAAGATTACGTATCATCCTTCTATTGAATCTCATCAATAGAAAATTTTCCTGGTGAGTATAGTCAATTGATATGGAAAGAATGTGAAACGGTATCTCCACGTGCTAGTTTCACATTATATGGGTTTCTACTGAAAGTACACATCTATTCTGAAAACGAAAAATTTTCAATGTCATGTGCTAGTCCAATGTGAGCAGCCCACGTCATGCACCAGATAATTAGACAGACACCTGTCTCATTGAAGACTTCTCATCCTAAAACATATAAGAGGCTTCTACAGTGGTTTGTACAAACTGATATTGTCTACACAAGCATTTCTCCCAAAAAAAAAAAAAGAAAAATAATTGACGTGATTTGAAAATTTAATGACAGTTTTCATGGTGAAATTAAAAAATATGAAGAGCTTGTGAATATTGTGGGTTACATGCTGACTAAAGTCAGAGCACTGGGCATACATCCCTTCAGTGTAATGTTACAAAGGATACAATTCACTACAAAACTTCACTATGCTCCCTTTCCGTCATTATATCAGCCATAAGCATGCACGCTCAAGCCTTTGTGTCTTACATTTTACCAACTGTACAAATTTCTTACAATCCTTCAGTTGCTTGTAAGAAAGTACACATAAATTCTCAATTGTTGAACATTGAACCTTTCAAAATTGGTTTTATATGTTTATGTTGTGTTGTTCATAAGAAAGATACCAACTTCTCCTAAGAATGTCATTATGTGAAATCAGAAGAAGTTGTCTCAAATAAATAGCATCTTATATTTATCATAAAAGTTACCTGAAAGCCTCTTTAACAAGATTAATAAATTGAATTATCTTATTTTGTCCTCACATTATGATCAATTTTTGAATTCTTAGGAAATAAAGATATATTACCTGAAAAGAGAAGTTGTCCAAGTACGTGAACTCATATTGAATTGATATAGTTTCTGCATGAGGTGAAATCCAGAGTAAGCCATCCACAAGTTCTGCAATTCGAAAATCCTTATCTCCCTTGGTTACTGTAAAGTCCAAATGCTTGACACCAAATAATGGGGGACGTAATATTTGCCTTGATTCTCTCGGAATAATCACATTCTTTACATGGAAATAAAATAAAACAAAATTAATAAAAGAGAAGCGCTAAATTAATCAATAGGAGAAATTTAAGATAAACAAAAATTTGGTAACCATAGACATACCTCACCCGTGTTACTACGCAAATAAAAGACTTTGGAACACTGATGGAACTTTGCAAGAAGTTCAGTATACTTGGCATACCATTGATCATCGATATTCTCAGAATGAAAATTGAGATCAACTTGTGACAAAGTCAAATCGTTGAACAAAAAGGATATTACATCACCACTATATTTGAATCTGCTTAAATTGGAAGTCACCATATTAACTTCAACCAAATTTGAACATTCTGTGATCAACAATTCCTTAAGAGATGGACTTGAAATCTTAATACTCTCCAACTTGTTACAATGCATTATGCTTAAGTACTCAAGAAGCGGAAGTTTCAACATTTCATTGCAAAGCCACTCATCCCTTATGACAAGCCTACGCAACTTTAAGCGTTTTAGACTCTTACAGGGAGCTATATTAATCTCACATGGTCCAGATAACTGACTAAGACTTATTGAATGAACATTCAGTGCATTGACATCCAGCTGTTTAAGTTCACGAGAAAAACCACCGCCATATACCTTGATTTTACTGAGTTTAGTAACATTAGATAACTCTAGACTTTTAACTCCATGACAAAAATCAATTTTAAGATACTCAATCAAAGGAGAACCAGCGACTAGTTTTTCAATTACACGACCATCAGCATAAACTCGGTACAGCGTCAATTTTCTCAAAGAAGGTAACTTCATATCACAATGCGACTCCAGCTTACAACCTACCAACTGCAGCACCTCTATGGATTTTGAACATAAAACTAACTGAGGCAACTTGTACCCTCTTTCTAAACTAAGCTCCAGCTCTTTGACATGACTTCCAATCGCATAGCATAGACATCGGTCCACAAATGATGCTTGATGACAGCTCAGAAAGCACATATGAATTCTAAACTTACATATACTTATCATATCCATATGGCGCTTCAGCAGAATCTTTTCGAAACATTTCATCACCCTCCCTCTTCTCGTACGATGATGAATTCTGTCAACATATTCTAACTCTGGATAAGTACGCCACGCTTGCATCCATCTTTTGCACAACACAGACGAACTAACAAACTCTTGAAATGAGAGAAATGACATGATGTGGTGCAATAACGGTTCCGGCAATGCGGATAGCATATCTACTTCACTTTCTATCCTCTTCATGATTCACAAACTAAACATGCATAGAATTAACAAAATTAATTGTCAGTGCTTAAATAATTAAGCTTTCAAACCACATTTACCGAGTGGTATATGCTCAAATCCCTCTATCGTATTAATTAAATCATAGTTAATTGTTTTTGTGATATAATTTGATTGAAATCTCTAGTTTAACATATTTAAAACCACTGATAACAAAGAAAATAATAATAAATAAAAAAAGGTGCAGTCTAATCCGTGAGAATGATAAAGAAAATACCTTTAACTGCTGAGATAATCTTTTTACAGCTGAATTCGAGGTTGGGTTCGGGAAGATTTTTGCGATTGAAAGGTTTTGAGTTAGGGTTTTTGACAGTGAAACGTTGGGTGTGGTTGAAATGTAGAGGGTCGAATGGGTTTGGTTAAGAGAAGAGGGAATAATGGTTACACAATGACCGATCATGGAAAATTAGAAACGATGTCGTTTGCTCACCATGGAAAAGATTTCAAGTATGCTTCATCTTCACCAATTTTTTCCATCTTACATTGTTTTAAAAAATAACAATTTCACCTTATAATTATTTATAAGAGAATACGACATATTCTGACCGAAGTGTAGCGAAATCCAAATGTGCTAAGCATGGTTGTACTGCATTTATTCCAGGTTTTCATCCATAAATTAATATCGTTTCTTTTATTTTAACATATTTTTAACTTTTCACTATAGCATAATGCACTTTAACCTTTCATTAGTAGAAGATGAGTTCATGTTAGCAAAAAAAGACTCACGTTAGTATCTTCTAAGCCGACAGTTTTTAGTTTTTTTTGGTTGATTCCAAAGTTCAAAATCATTTCCGATACCACCGTTGGACTCCTATAATCTTTTCTATAAAACCCATATCTTTACTTGTTGATTTCACTCACCGTTTTCAACCACCTTAAAAAATCACTAACGATGTTAGTTTAAAGATAGAAATCTGAAATAAATACAACCATAGTATCAACTAAAATTTCGCTAAACTTGGGTGGGAATATGTCATTTACTCTATTTATAATAAGTAGATAAAGTCCCTTACAAATATATAAATGGTTATTGGTTACAGAAGAGGAATCTGAGACAGTGGGACTTGGGAGGCAGGATTTGATTGGATTGGGTTGGATTAGAGTAATGTTGTCTTATACTCTTATGTTTTGTAGAGTTTGTAAATTGGATAAAAATATTTATATTAAAAATTAATTAAAAACATTAAATATAATTTAGTAATAATTTTTAAAAAATTGATTTAGAGTCATAGAGTATATTAATTATTAAAATTTAAAAACGACTGTCATATCCTTCAATCTTCAAGAATTTGTCACTATATGTATATAATTATATCTCTTTGGGGGCACTTACCAAATATTGATTGCATTTTCTATAATTAAAATATTTTATAAAAATATACATTAATATTTGTTTTAATAATATTTAATTAAATTTGAAATATGTATGGCTATGTTTGTTTCCCTATTCAAACCCTATCCTATTCAATCATATTAAAATACATATTTGTTTCACTATTCAAAATCCTATTCAAAATCTAATCATATTTTATTCAACTCAAAATATTTAGATTATTTTAATCCCCTAAGTTTGTTAATTTAACTAAACACCTCCAACAATAAACGTTTATAAATTGACAAAAAACATCCCCATTCACCCATATATTGCTGACAGCCGACCACCATCGCTAGAAGGTGATCGAAATCTTCCGGAATGGCACATGAACGACTAGATCTGGCCGGTCGTGCATCGATCTTGTCATTGACGACTAGATCTGGCCACACCTAGCCTTTGATAACAACCATTTCTTGGCCGTCGTTGACGACCATATTTGGCCGTCAACGGCCAGATCTGTGACCATTAGATCTAGCCGAAAAAGGCCAGATCAGCACATGACCGGCTAGATCCAATCGGTCATGCGCTATTTTGGCATATTCCAGCCACCTTTCGGCAGTGGTGGCCAGTTACTGGCAATATGTGGGTGGGTGTAGGTGTTTTTATCAATTTATAATTTTTTATTGTTGGAGGTGTTTAGTTAACTTAACAAACCTAGGAGGTTTAAATAATCTAAATGTTTTCAGAAAATGTTATTTAGAAATATACAAAAAAGACTTCTCAAAATCCTATCCTATTTTCCAAAAATGCTAAATAGCATAGAATGCTATTCTAAATAACTAACCAAACGGATTTGAAAATCCTTTTAAATAATTTCATTATTAAATTCATTACAAACATAAAAGTTGTTTAATTCTATTGCTTTAGTAAAATGTAGACTCTTTTTGCAATTTCGGGCTAACAAATAGAGTTTTTATTAACCACCACTGGATGGCCTGATGGTAAAAGAATAAAAGGAGGTTCTATGAGCTCCTAAGTTCGAGTTCCCACAGACCCTAATAGGGGTGGCTACTGAGGGACTCACCTGGTCGTCAACTTCAGAGCCTCGAGAAATTAGTTAATATGCACGCAAATTGGCCCAGACAACCTTGGTCAAAAAAAAAAAAAAAAAAAAAGAGTTTTTATTAATAGAATTATTAGTTAAAAATTATTGGTTTGTTAAACCCTTTATTATAGATTGATATATAATTTCACTTATGGATTGGTTGGGATCTTTAAATTTAAAATCTTTTAACTTAAATTTATATTCAAAGTCTTAAGCATTATATTCAATGTTCTTGGAGCCATTCTAGATGCAAAATGTAGCAAGTAATGCAATTATAGCAGCAGGATGGCACAGAATGAGTTATGTATACATAAATCTCTCCCACATTTCTCGACAACTCGAACGCCTGCAATGCAGTAACATACAAAAAATTCATCATTTTTGGTGCTGGATCAACCCATGCCATTTCCCCTGATAACTCTTCATCACCTGCAAAAGTTGTAGGCACAATCCCTTTTGACCCGGTTTGCGCTCTAAATCCAGAATGCGTTCATTATCATTTTCTTGAATGTTAAGATTAAATTTATTTATATTTTACCAGCTTTATCAAAGGCAAACAGACTATTTCGAGTTTTATGGAGATACATCTGTGAGGAAGAATGGTTCTGATACTGGTAAGAATGTGGTTGAGTTTGTCACTGCACTAAACAATCCCGATGGAAAGATGAACAAGGCAGGTCTTGGCTCATATGCCAAACAAATCTATGATTTTACTCTCATTTCAGCTCCTGCAGATGAAGATATCCTGATTTTTACAATCTCTAAGATCACTGGTCATGCCAGCTCTAGGTTCGGGTAAGAATAAACCCTCGCACTCTCGGATTTGCTTTTAAGCTTCACGAAACAAACCATGTCACCCGAAACTTAACTACTAGTTAAAAGAAAATTAACCTGAGGTTTATTAATTAGCCACAAGTTGTCCTCAACGAGATGTGACAAACTCTGTCAATATCACGTTACGATCTCATTTTGATATATCTATAAACTCACGAAGAAAATTAGATATATATTTTCGCATTAATTTTGTATAACTAACGGCATGTCAATCAGGATAATTTTCTAATGAATCTCTAGTTAACATCCTGATTATGCCTCATGTATAGGGACAAACTTGTTAAGGGCCGGGCTAGTGGGGGCTGGACACCCCACTCAATGAAAAAAGTTTATTTAATTATGTTAATGTTTATTGATTTAATCTCACTCACTTAGCTTTCCTAGAACTATGTTAAATTAAGTCCTGGTGTCGTGCTAATTATGTATATCTATATTGTATACAATTTAACATTGATAAAGGATGAGGTTGTGTATAACAAAATGACATGGCATAGGAGACTAGCTTTAAACAACAAGGGGGTTTCCCGGGATAGCCAGTTAAAAGCTGTTAACGTGAATGATATCTTTCTATAAACATGTGGCGAGCGACCTGGTAGGCTTGCGACCTAATGCTAACGACCATATGTTCTAGATGAGTAAAGTTGCCATGTGAATCAAATGTTCTCTAATCATGTGTTCTAATGAACATGCAATTTAGATGAAGTGACTAGAGGGTAATGCGACCTGGAAGCAATACAGAAAAGTGTCCAAGAGACCTAACGAGCTTGTAATCAGAAGCATGTAGTGATCTGTCATAAGGAAGGTCATAGCCTAGTGATCTATCATAAGGAAGGTCATAGCCATCATTGTTGAATGTCAGAGGACGGTTAATTTCCTTGTATGGTTCAGTTGTTATCATGGATAAGACTGTCAGATGTCAAACTGGTTAAGAATGTTAGTGTGTTAAATATGTCTGTAACCTAGGGTAGCATTTAATGCTTTGCAGAATAGGTGTGTTAAAAGGCACAATCAATTATGTGTCTAGGTTGTATATAATCAATGTTTGAATCAATGAAAAAAAAAAAAAAAAAAACTTTTTCGTGCATTCTATCTTTTTATTCTCCAGCTTGTAATCCAACAAGAGCTTTGAAGCTTCTGAAAGTAGTGCTAGAAAGCAAAGGAAGGGAAATATTTGAATCCGGATACAAGACAATGAAGAGCCGCTGGGAAAAGTTGAGCGATATCATATCACTATCAAAGAGATTTTCTCCCCAACAAATTGCCCCTCAGTATTACAACTTCTTCCACAAAGTCAGGGCAGCTCGTCCAGGTAATTCTCTTAACCATAATCGAAATCTGAAACTTACTCGAATTAAGGATTCTCTCCTGATCGAGCTCGCCGGTTCATGCATGGTTAAAATGTGAGATGGAAGAAGATAAAAACTTCCATGAGGTCCCGACAGCTGGAAAGATCATCGGGCGAGAAGGCAGTATGTTCAATGCTGAAGATAGCTATGAACTTCTCAGCCTCCACAGAACCGAAGACGATTTCAATCTGTTGCTGCAGAGACTAAAAAATTAGTGTCAGAAGAAGACGGTGGCGCCAAAACTATGTGAAGAATGTGATCAACTGATTGTTAATTACAAGAGCTTCTCCTTCTTAATCGCAGCAATAATAATGTAAACGGTCATGTCTGTTGACCTGCTAAGCTTTTAGATAGTAAAAATATTTCAATATCGTTCAGATTTGTCATTTGTAAATGTTTCTGCACTAGGAATGTTGCAACAAGTAACCAAATGCAATTATTTGAGGACTTATAGCAGGAAAAAGGAATCTACAAAGATGATAATTCACTTTTTATTTGTATTTGTCCAATTGTGCTTGTCTTGTCACGACAAAAAAGTATAGAATAATCAAGATGTCGTTGTACTTTGACGTCAATTCTATATATTAGAATTCTATAGAGAATCTTTTTTGTGAGCCAATAAAAATATTATATCTGTCCAGATTCTCTTAAACAGAACAAGGCGGCTCTCCAAAAAGCCAGGGAGCTAGGCTCGCCAGCCATCGAAAAAACATGGCCAAAATTCAAAGTTCCAAGTATGTGTTATGTTTAGTTTCTTCTCTGGTTCTGAATCTCATCTCCATCATAAATCTTTATGTGGGTAGGGAGTGGAATCTGAATTGGAGCAGTAAAGCTGCAAGAGAAGCTGAGGCCGTGGCTGCAATCTCATGTTC